GCAGGACTGGGCCAGGAATCTGAACTACGGTCACCATGTAGGATCTAGCTTCTCTCAAGCAGCCCATTACTACTGCACCACAGAGCAAGCCCCAGTCAACAATCCTTTAAAGAATGCATGCAAAACTCTTTGAAAATCAACCGTGTTTGCATGTAGTCAAGTTTCTACGGTAGAATATGCCTTGAAATAATTTTTCCCCCATTGGAACATGTTTTTTCCAATTAAAATATATATTTTTACGTTTTTTACCATGGGGTGTGTGTGCTCACTTGAGAGAGACAGAGAGAAACAGTGAGAGGGAAAGTGAAAAATCACCCCCCCAGAGAAGATGGCCTTGCTACAGTCCCTTCTCCATTCTCTTCCTAGGATTTTGGGCATGCACACATACAAGCTCAGCGTGATTTTCATCTTGAACTGAGATTAGCTATGAGGGAGTCCACACCTTAACCACCACCTCACCTGCTGGCCATGAAATGTATTTTTTAATCTTGGTAATTTGACTATTGATTTTGGGGTCAGCAGAACTCTTATTCTAAGGAATTGATAAATCTTTACTAATATTCATTTGGAAATCTTCTCAAAGTCCAAAGGAAGAAATGAACTCGGGAAATTAAGGTTGAAAATTAAGTTCAAGACATAACTTAGTTGAGATGTTCTTCAAAATAACAGAGAAAAAAACACAATATGATAGTAAATGATTTGATGGTTTTCATTAATCATGGTTCTCATTTTTTACAATAAATACTTAGACCTTTTGTACATGAACTTGGTGAAATTAATAAAAGAATGTGGTTTATGAATCCAAATACTGAGGTCATTCATTAACATTCATGTGATGCAATGGAAAAGTTATAAAAATTATTCATAGAGAATAACAGGTTCTTTATGAAAAATACTCTCTCTAAAAATCCTTCAAGGAACTGATAGGTGGACTTTAAGAAAAATGTGTCATCGTGTAATTAGTACAGTATAGCAGTGTTTGGGGGGAAAGAATTATTTATTTAATTTTATTTATTCATTAATTTCTTTTTCATTTGACCAGAGAGAAAGACACAGAAGGAAAGAGAGGGAAAGTGAGAAAGCAAGCCACCAGGTCTGGGACTTCAACTGTGGTTGGCTATGTGGGACTGTCTAGCACCTCAATTATCATGCCGCCTGCTGGCCCCATAATATAGCAGTATTAAAGAGGAAAGACTCTAGCTAAGAGGACATTTCCTCTTTTCCCTGTGCTA